GTTCGTAACTTTGTCCGAGTGACAATGAGACTTTGCAGAATGTACCTAGTTCTGAGTCCTCTGCCGTCTGTTTCAGGATAATTTGCAAAATCGGACTGATGATTTAATACCTTCCGACATTTTCTCTGAGAGGTGCCATCCTCAGCACTGAGTTAAATCTCATCAACTGAACACAATGCTCAAATCCACAGTCACTACTCGGACTTTTGAACCTCTTCTAGCCACCAAATAAAGTGAAATACGCAAGCTACAACATGTTTATAGAGTACCTCTGCAATGGCACTCTGCAACGTCTGTCTTTGAAGCCGGATCGCGTCGACTCGGGCTTTGCAGCACCGATTCGTGTCCACGAAAAGCTGTTCCTGCTGAGCATCTCGGTTGCTCACCGCCCGAAGGATCCAAATGCCTCTTGCACAATATTCCACTGCTCCTCTAGCCCACAGCTCTCCATTCCAACCGATCTCCTTCCAAAAAAGGTGTGAATAGCAATCTGTAGTGTTTTTTCTTTTATGGTCACTCTCTCCCTTAATTTTGGAACAAGTGGTTTGATCTCGTTTTGCAACTTGGTCGTAACGCTATGGCAACCGAAATAGACGCTTGGTACATTTTCGGACCTGCCAATATCTGATACAAACTACAAATTGGAAGGAGAAAGATAAAGTCCATACCTCGTCCAACTGTCTGCTCAGCAATTGGGCCATATCTCCTTGTCTCTTGGTGCATTCATGTATCTTATATCCTAGCATTGTCACATTTACTGTCACGATTTATAAATTGCTTACTTTAATCTACTCTCGCGGTGTGTTTCTTTTTGACAGGAGTTAGTCAGGTCTATTCACACACCCGGTTTGACAGAAACAAATTCTACTATTTATGCAAAGGGTAACTTGACCTCAACGACTCTCCTGAGATGACATTGCTGTGGAGACTTTTATTTGGCCTGAAAAAAAGATTTATGAGTCCATTTTAAGCAAAGACGAAGACTGATTACCGTTGCTCTGCAGCTGATTGCAATCACGAGACATACTTCCTCGCTCTGGATGCAAATAGACCCAGCCATCAGAGCTAGGGCTTATTGCTTAAAACAAATTCGAGAAAACCTTTAGGCTTTATGCGAAAAAGTTGGGTTTCAAGGACTTTATTGGTCTATAATAATAGAGCTCACTTCTATTTTGAGTGAAAGTGTTCGGTAAAGAGATTAAAGAGTTGATTCCACCAGAACACGACTGCAGAATCCTCTTGACCAGCTGGCGATTGGCTTTGCTGAAACGCTCTTGTTGACTCTGTTTCCGAGACGATCGACTTCGATACCGATGGAAACATTGTAAGATTACGTCCGTCGTATGACGTATTTCACCCGAGCAGATGTTATCATTCTGACAACCACATGTAAGCTAACGAGTCAAGAAAATTCACCTGAATATCACTAAATGCTGTGAATGTACCATAAATCTAAGCTTTTTGATAAGGCATAAAGTGATTTGCTTAGTTCAAGTTATACGTCAACCTCGAGGCATGTGAGTGTGTCTGTTTGTTTGCGTGTGTGTGTGTGTGTGTGCCAAAATGTGTTAGTATATGCACGAAAGAAGCAGTGATGTCTCAAAGTAATTAGAACGGAAAATGTATTGTTCATTCTCGATCATCAAGTTTTGATGACCACCATCAAACCTCTGAGCATTCGAACTGATGCTTAAAATATACAAAAATAGGGGGATACTCGGGGTGCTCATTGTGGCCCAGACGTGTTGTTTTATTCGTATTCGAGTAGGGTTTCAAGACTACCAGTAAATCAGTGTAATGAGATGTATTCAACCTATTTCGTGTAAGGTGATGAAGGACTGGTAG